ACTAGGAGGCTAAAGCAGGAGGATTGCTTGAACCTAAGAGTTTGAGGTTGCTTTGAGCTAGGCTGAGGCCATGGCACTCTAGCCTGGAAAACAGATACTTGGTCTCAAAAAAAAAAAAAAAAGTAGACAAATTAAGACGAAAATCAGTATGCTTCTAATAGCAATAGCCATGTTTCCCTTACACTAATTTTTGTTTTTTAAATGCAGAGATATAATTTATGATGGCCTTTATATGATGTTGAATTGTGGAATAACCATGAATGGTATATCTTAGAATTTCAAAATCCATAAACTTGGATTTAATTTCTCTAGCTTGGCCAGGCCCAGAAGCTCACACCTGTAATCCTAGCACTCTGGGAGGCCAAGGCCAGTGGATTTGCCTGAGCTCAGGAGTTTGAGACCAGCCTGAGTAAGAGTGAAACCCTGTCTCCAAATAGAGTTGGGTGTTGTGGTGGGTGCCTGTAGTCCCAGCTACTTGGGAAGCTGAAGCAAGAGGATCACTTGAGCCCAAGAATTTGAGGTTGCTATGAGCTATGATGCCATGGCACTCAACCAAGGGTGACAAAGTGAGACTATAATAATAATTTTGCTAGTTTCCAGACTATGGTAGAGAGTGTACTATACACATTTGCTGAAGCAGTGAATTGTGATCTTTCCTTGAAAATTTCCTTTTTTCCATGAAACCGTGGCTCACTCAGAATAAAGTCAGCCAAACCCATCTCAGCGAATTGAGTCATGATGAGCACTTTCGTTTCTAACCTGTGCTGGCCTCCTCCGACTTGGCCAGTGAATGCGGAGCAGGCTAAATCTTGACTCTCCTGCGGCATCCCCACTTCTCTTACCGTCCAAGACCCAGATCTTTTACTTTGTCCTATGAGCTTTGTTCATCCCTCTGTTTTTTCATTCCCGCAGGCCATGCAGGATGCGTTGGCAGACCTTCCAGAATGGTATGGAATAAAAAGCATGCAGGCCCACTGGATCGGGGAGTGTGTGGGCTGCCATCTGGACTTTGCATTAAAGGTGATCAAGCAGTAGCTCTAGCACTTCATGCTTAGCAATCTCTGCCTGTGGGACTTGTTGACTAAACCAGCAACTTGAGACTCTCTAGCAGCACTGTCCTATAGAAAACTATTGTGAGCGACATATACATAATTTTAAATTTTCTAGTAGCCATATATATATTTTTTTTTTTTTTTTTGAGACAGAGCCTCAGGCTGTCCCCCTGGGTAGAGTGCCATGGCATCACAGCTCACAGCAGCCTTCAACTCCTGGGTTCAAGTGAGTCTCTTGCCTCAGCCTCCCAAGTAGCTGGGACCACAGGCGCCTGCCATAATGCCTGGCTATTTTTTGGTTGCAGACGTCATTGTTGTTTGGCGGGCCCGGGCTGGATTCGAACCTGCCACGTTAGGTGTATGTGGCTGGCGTCTTAGCCACTTGAGCCACAGGCGCCAAGCCAACCATATATTTTTAAAATGTAAAGAAACAGATGAGATTCGCTTTAATAACACGTTATACTTAACCCATTATCTCCAAAATCTTATTGTTTTAAAATGAGATCAATAAAAAAGACTTCATTAAAGAAACATTTTCCCTTCTTATTTTAATACAGTCTTCAGAATTCACTATTTTCTACAGTTACAGCACATACTGGCCACGTGGCAAGTACTTCATAACTGCCTATTGCTACTGGCTACCACATTGGACAGTGTAGACACAGAGGGTCTTCTGGGGGGGGTCCATGAATTCCCTGTAATTGTATTCAGAATGTTTGCCTGGGCATTCCTGAGCAGTGGGTCCATAGCTGTCATTGTGTTCTCAACAGTATTTATGTCACAAAGCAGGTGAAAAGCCAGGAGAGCAGAGGCCAACTGTGACATCGTTCCTAAACTAGACAGACTTGGCATTGTTAAGGATTATGTTGGAAACTGCTGTGCAAACACTCTGAACGTTAACCACCTAAGGCCCCCCTGCTCTGGAAAGTGCCCCTAAAATTTTCCTCTTTTTCTCTACTGACCAGAGACTTGTTCATACCTGGGTGTTCTTTTTTAGCCTTCTGGTTTCTCCTCTGCTCATCAAGAATTCTGTGATTTATTAAGTTCTGAACCACACCTCTCTTCATCCTCATCAAAACCTTCAGAGGAGGAAGCAGTAGCCCAAGCTGGCCTCCCTTTCTAGTCTCCTCTCTGCTGACCCCCAGACCTGGTGTTGAGCACCCGCTACTTGCCACTAGTTCATAATTCCCTCTGGAGTCTCCTTACAGAAGTGATCAACTCATTCTAACGGCACGTGGGCAGCTTCTCCTAAAGGAGTGTATACTATTATTGAAAGTGTAAACCTTTCAATATTAAGCCCTGGGCTGAGCTTTTCCTCTTCTGCTATCCTGAGAAGGTGGCATGAAATTCCAGCCATGACTTTTATTCAGACTTGCAGGGCCATCTCTGTTCAGGCCTCTGCATTACCCGGGTCTAATATCAGGTCCTCATACCAAACCTCTTTGCTTCTTAAGGCCTGCATTAATTAAGACGTGGGTCTCTGAGCCTCTCAGCTGCTGTGCATAAAATGTCTCTATAATCTTTCCCTCACCCAATATTTCATTGTGAAAATGTTTTCATCTCCAGGGACCCAGCTGAAAATGAAATGGGCCAACTTGTGTCTCAGGGGAGGAAACATTCTTAGTCCTACAGGGCCGTGTGGCTGTGCTTCTGTGTTCCCCCTCCTGGCTCTGCAGGTGATACCTAATTGGCACTTGGGCTGGGTAGTTGACTATCTTTTAGTTCATTGGCACTTTATCAATGTGTTGAAATATACACATGAAAAAAGTAGCACCTGTCCTCACTGTGTCCTCCCTTTCTGTCACATGATTGGCCCTCAGTCAATGAAAGATATTAATATTATAACTAGCTTAGCTGTGAGGTCAACCCAGGCTATCTTTTCTTTCTCTATTTAAGCCAGGCATAACTGGCTAAGTTATTTTTCTTATTAGAAAAGTAGATGCTTTTATGTTTTTACTATACCTTAAATCCTTGAGGACAGTATAGCTCCTTTCTCAGGACAGAAACAATATGGCACTGATGACTATTTTTGATTTGTCATTGTGTTTGAATAAAGCTTTCTGTACATGCTTTGACCACCTTCCATTTGGGACTGCCCAGATACCTAGTCGTAGATACCTACCTGGGGAGGGCTGCTGGGAGAGGAACACTGATCCTCTTCTCTCCTGCCCTTCTCAGACCCTGCTGGGCACTGTCTTATTCTCCACAGCTGTGTTGTCAGTTCTAATCTAGAAACTATTTGTGAATGGCAGGAGAAGGGGAAAGCAAATTGGCTGGGGAGTGACCCAGCTCAAAAGAAGGGCTGAGAAATGAAATAACTCTTCTTTCCTCCCGCCAGGTTGATGGGCAAGTCACCGGAGAAAAGCTGACCGCCTACACGACCACCCCTGAGGCCATTTATGGCACTTCTCATGTGGCCATCTCCCCCAGCCACAGACTCTTACATGGGCACAGCTCCTTGAAGGACACCTTTCGGAGGGCACTTGTCCCTGGCAAAGGTGAGTTGGCAGTGAAGGCTAAAGCACTAGGATTGCTGCCTGACACAGGGACAGTGCTTCACAGAGCTCCCAGGCTTTTCACATGGATCATCTTATGTGGTTTGTTCTTTTCTTAGTCTTATTTTTTATTTTTTTTTTATTTTGAAACAGAACAAAAACGAACTCAGAAAGCTATTAAGTTGCTTACTGCTAGTTTAATCATGAATTTCTAGTTTGTCTGCATCTTGAGCTTCTGATTAAAAGCTCAACTCTCTCCCTTTCAATACAATCTAGATTTAACGTGCTTTTCCAGTAGGAATAGAATCTTCTCCTTAATCATAATTCTACGATCAAATAAAAATACATTGACAAGGACTAGAGGGGAGCCAGTGAGAATGAGAAAAGCTTTTCAACAACTTAAATATTTTGTTTTATTTTATTTCTGACTGACCTATTTCTGACTGATAATGGAATTCCTTTGGCCTTCTTAGACTCCATATCCCCTTCCCATGGTGAGAGCCCCCAAGTTTGTTAATAGCTGTCACCCTGGGCATAGTCCCATGGCATCATAGCTCACAGCAACCTCAAACTCTTGGGCTCAAGCAATCCTCTTGCCTCAGATTTAATAGAGATGGGATCTTGCTTTTGCTTAAGCCGGTCTCAAAGTTGTGAGCTCAATCAATCCATCTGCCTTGGCCTCTCAGAGTGCTAGGATTATAGGCATGAACCACTGTGCCCGCCAAATTTTATTATTTTTAAAAAATTATATGGTTATCTTCACAGACAGAATCCTCCTCAGCACAGGTCTTTTACAGATGGGCTTTATGAATGGATTGACCTAATTGCTCCAGGAAGACCCGGGGAGTGCTTATATGTTAGTCAAGATTCTGTGGTTGCAAGCAACAGAGTCCATCTCTGGCTAAGCCAGAGGAAAAGGGAAGCATACTAGAAGACTGTGGGGAAGCTCGCTGACTAGAGGAACAGCTGAAAAAGCTGTCTGAAAGAGGACTGGGCAGCCCTGAGAGTTTGGGGCACAGGAAGTAAGAGATAGTCTTTTGAGTGCCACTGTCAGAGTAAATCTGCTCTAACCCTGCCTTTAGTACTTATTAAAGGGAAAAGTGTCTGATCAGTGCACCTGGAGCCCAAGTGAAGGCCAGGCAACATCTCTGATGGATTCCCAAGACTGTAACCAGTAAAGGAGGAGTAACTCTCCAAAACAAACTTACGGGCTCTCACCAGGGGAAGGGGATATGGAGTCTAGAAAGGCAAAAGAAATTCCATAATCAGTTAGAAATAGGTCTCTGGAGTAACTTAAATACTGTAGAACCTCTATAAATTGACCACCCAAGGGACTGTAACAAACTGGTCAACATGAGGAACCAGGCCTACTGTACTGACATGTACATGTGGTGCATGTCCAGTCTATAAGAATGAGGTCAACTTAAGAAGGTGTCAGTGTAGGGAGGTGGCCAACTATGGGGATCCTACCATATTTCTACAAAAATCTCATCTCCATTCTCTTTCATAAACAATAAATGTCAGCCCAAGCACACAATCTGAGTTGTTGGAGTCTGAAATAGTATTATTTGACTAACAAAAACATTTTGGATGTGATATAAAGTTGCCATTTTTGAAATACCAGAATGAAACATTTCCTGATACCAGCTTAAAGAGTGAGACAGTGTCATCCAAACATCCCCCTGCTTAAAACATCTAATTGTTTACTCAGAGCATTAAAGCCAGATTAAAATTAGTGAGAGTTTCCTGAGAGGTTGCTGTACCCACTCTTGGGAGTACATAGATGAGCCATTCACAGACTTCACGGTGGATGCTCCTGGGGATCAGAACAGAGGACACACAGATGCAGATGCCATTCACCCCACACAGGGCAGGCAGCTATCATCTGTTGGCTTCACCTCTTTCTAGTATCTATTAAAATAGAGAAAAGACTCTTCTGAGTTAAAATTTCAGTGTGTACACATAAAGCCCAGTATAGCTATCTCCTTCGGGTTTATTTTCTGTACTTATTCAAAATAAAAATTGGATCCTTTTTAACTGTTTAAAGAGAAAACTCATAGTTTGTACTCTTAGGAGCAGTATGAGATTCCTTGAGAGCTATAACAGTTGAATAATATCTAAAATTGAAAAACTAAAAAAATGTAAAGGTCGAGACCTTACATTTTCTCTTAGGGTTAATGTGGAGACACAAATTAAAATTAAGTAATATTAATAGGAGATCAATGAGCCAATAAATTATCAAAGATGGAGTTCCTGAGATGAAAGGGATACATTCAAAAAATTTTCATATATAAGAGATTGAGAAATTATTTCAGTTCCCACAGACTTTGTGGTTCTCATGACCAAAGAGGTAGCAGCACGCCTGACTTGGCCTGGTCACCTCATTTGGGCACATTTAGTGCTGAGTGTGATGTTCCATTTGGAAGGGCTCATTAGCTACTTTCTCCCCTCTTTTGAATAATGTCTGGAACATTATTCCAGATGGAACATTATACTTGGCACTAAGTTTTCCTAATTCAAATTTTTAGAGTAAAAATATTCTGTTTGCAGATGTCAATTTATTCAGAGTCTCTAGATTAATTTGCATGAGTCCCTGGATTTTGACATGTGACATTATAATCACATAAGCCCACTACATTACATGTAATACATTTTTTCCAAAAGGTGAATTAAAATTATCCTACAAATACAGACTTTTTGGTCTTTGAGGTTACATTTTAAACCAGAATGTTGTATCACTGCTGTCATTTACCATTGCTGACTGGCTCATTTTTTCCTGGAATGTCAGATTTTGAGGGTAACTGGTGCTAAAGCAGTGACCACTGATGGTCATAGCAGCACATGGTTGTGACTGGATGTATTACTTACAGGTGTTTAAATTCTCAACATGGGCTCGGCGCCTGTGGCTCAAGTGGCTAAGGCGCCAGCCACATATACCTAAGGTGGTGGGTTCAAATCCAGCCTGGGCCTGCCAAACAACAATGATGACTGTAACCAAAAAATAATAATAATAATAGCCGGGCATTGTGGCAGATGCCTGTGGTCCCAGCTACTTGGGAGGCTGTGGCAGGAGATTCACTTGAGCCCAGAAGTTGAAGGTTGCTGTGAGCTGTGATGCCACGGCACTCTACCCAGGGGGAAAGCTTGAGGCTCTGTCTCAAAAAAATAAAAAAAAATTAATTCTCAACATGAGTTATTATTGTTGCTAAGTTGGTTTCTACATATCAGCTCCTGATCTGGCACAAGATGGCCAAGGTTCTGCTCCCAGATCCATCTGGCTGACTGAGGAGGGTCATATAACCTTTTGTTAAGCTTTCTTGGCAGAGCAAGTGATGGGACTGTCATTCAGGGTGGGCTTGGGGGACCTTGTGGATAGAGAAGGAGCCTGAAGAGTGCTGAGAACAAGAGGACACATTTGGACAGGGTGATACTTGAGTGGCAGACCAGCTGACCTAATGTCCCATGCCCATGGCAAAAGGGCTGTGAGGATTTCAGCAGCCAGAGTCAGAATGGAGGGAGGGAATGGTTCTAAGGAGTATGTGGAAGGCGGGGATCCTAGAATGATTCCCTGATTTCTGGTCCAGCCAACTGGATTGCCAATGTTATTGACTAAATGTATGGTTTTTTGCTTAACAGCATGTAATTTTGTAAAGATTCCTTTAAGAGACGGGGTGGGAGGGGGGAGTAAAGTGCTTCCCCAGATCTTGAAATGTAGTTTATTTCCATAATCTTTGATGTTGCCTCCTTTTCTCCGATGACCAACTCTGACTTGAGTCCTATTATGTAAGAGCTCTGACTTGATAGGAACTAAAAACCATAAAAGGCATCAATAGGAAAACATCATCAGAGTTCTAGAAGCTGTTCTGTCTTTTCCTGAAGTCTTTTCTTGCATTCCTAATATTAAAATATTCAAACCTTGGAACACTGGAACCACACATTTCAGCTCTGAGTCACCAGCTCACGATGCATTTTTTGCCAAAAGGACAAATGAGGTCTCCATAAAGGGAACTTAGAACCCTGTTGTTATTGACACATCAGAAACACATTAGAGAGCAAGAGCCTCCCTGGAAGCCCCAGAACATTACATAATTAATTACTCCATTGTTTTGCACCTGTCTCCATAGTATCAACTTGGGGGTGGGACAAAGGGAGCAGGCACATCTGTAATCCTGGCGTAATGATTTGGTGTTTAACAAAGCTGTTTCTAGTAGCATTCTTTAAGCATACGTTAATAGATGTTATGTGGAGAGAAAAGCTTCTATATTCAAAAATTCTGGAATAAACAAAAATAAACAGGTTTCTTTGCTCTGGACTTCTGAGAGCCTTTGCTATGCTGGTGCGCACTGTAGCTGTCCGAGAGAGGTCACATGCCACCCTTGTCGCACTCTTTTGACCCTTCAACGCTGTTTCCAGAGAGTATCCCCAGGAACTAGTTGCATGAACCACTCCCTGGTGAAGACCAAACTAGCCATATGCTTGTCCAGAAGGCATGAAGGACATGCTTTCTTTGCAGTGGGTGCCCTGAGAGCAGATGATACCTTTTTGTCTGGAATATTTCTTTGTGATTATCATATGAAAGTGTTCAGCTGTTATTTGGCTGCTCTGTGGAACTCTTGTGTTTTTTGGGTTTCTCCAAGACGTTTTTGGGTTCTTGCATCACATAACCAGCACAGGAGTCACAAAAAATATGGAGAACACTAGGCCTGGTCAGGAACTTCAGATTTTAGTTTTGTTCTAAGAAATAGGTTTTGACCAGATACAGTGTACAAATTGCTGCTACGCATTCGTTGCAAACCTGCTACTATTTAAGTTCAAAGACCAATTTTCTTCTAACTGAAAAGCCATCCTAATAGAATTTTTCTGTGTCATGAGAAAATTCAAACCATTCATGCAGTGTGCTACATTTTTTCATATTACTTTGTATTGTAATAACTTTATTGAGATACAATTCACATACTATACAAGTCACCCACTTAAACAATTCTGTGGTTTTTAGTATATTCATAGAGTTGCACAACCATCATCACAGTCATTTTGAGAACATTTTCATCATCCTTAAAAGAAATCTCAGGCCCTCTAGCAGTCACCCCCCTCCCTACCCATTCCTGCCTAATCCCTAGCCCTGGGCAACCACATATCTAATTTCTGCCTCCACAGATTTGTCTGTTCTGGACACTTCATGTAAATGGAATCTTATGACAGCTGTCCTTTTGCATCTGGCTTCTTTCACTTAGCATAGTATTTTCAAGGTTCTTGCACATCATAGCACGTGTCAGTACTTCATTCCTCTATTCCCAAATAGTACTCCGTCATATGGATTTGTTTTTGAGATAAGGTCTTACTCTGTTGCCCAGGCTATAGTGCAGTGGCATAACCATAGCTCACTGCAGCTTCAAACTTCTGGGCCCAATCAGTCCTCCTGCCTCAGAATCCTGAGTAGCTAGGACCACAGGTGTATACCACCACATGCAGCTAATTTTTCTTACTTTTTGTAGAGACAAGGTCTTGCTGTATTTCTGAGGCCGATCTCTAACTCTTCTGGCCTCAAGCCATCCTCCTGCCTAAGCCTTCCAAAGCATTGGGATTACAGGCATGAGCCACCACACCCCAGCCTTCATATCTCTTTTTAAAAACTAAGTAGTGC